TAACCATATACTCCATTAAAATATAATGAAGTGAAATTATCTTATTTTCAAAAATAAGAGAAGCAGAAAGTAAATAAATACAGAAGCAGTAAAAAAATTATTTATTCAAAACAATGACAAAATGACAATGTATGTTAAAAATCTACAATCAATTATATTCCTATGATAGTCATGAAAATTAAAGATTCAAACAAAATAGTGTCAAAATATGTTTTAAAACGTCATGTGTTTGGAAATATTTGGTTGATGGAATTGTGGGACTTAGTTTTAATTCTCCTTTGAAATTTTTTGGATGTTCACAGTTTTCTGCTATAAAAAGATTAATAGAGAAAAATGTTAATATTTTCTTTTTTAAAAGTAAAAAAATACACACTACTAGATACACCAAACGGCAGTCAGAAACTTTATAAAATCACCACATCTCTGTAATAGATCAAAAGGATGAGAAATTACAAAATTTAAAAGAAAAACGTGATTATAAATAATTTTAATAGAAATTACAATGCAGAATAATGTTATATCTATGGCATGTTGTTATTTAGGGACAGAAAGACAAACTTTATCCCAAGTTTTTATAAAATACAGCACTTGACACATATTAACCAGTAAACCAGTTGTCGTCTAGTTGACTCCGAGTTCCAGAATTTTACTGGGTAACTTAGATATTTAGCAAATAACTGAATGGACAGCCTTACATTTTAGATGCTTTTTTTTTTTTTTTTAAATTCCACAAAATCTCTACTATAATGTAAAATTATAACTCTAAATTTATCTATTTTGAAAAACTTAAGGTGAAAATTAATGAACTCATTTCCTGAAGTTAAAGAAAATAAAGTCAACTTAACGAAATTAGGGAGATTTGAATGTTAAAAGATAAAGTGAGAGCAGAAATTAAGGACTTTAAAAATATAAGCTCATATGAAATTTTGTGCTTAAGAAGTTGTATCACAGAGACACAGAGTTTTTTTAAAGAATATAAGAAAAAATCAGGAAAGGCTATAAAAAGACCATATACCAAAAAAGTTTGAATAATGTAGACGATTTTGTGTGAAATAAAAATTCCCTAAATTAATAGAGTAAGAGAAATAGAATAGGAAAATAACCATGAATTATATTTAAACATTTTTAAATTGTCCCTAATAAATGCACCAGGACTATTTCATGTAGTTTTCTTAATTTTTTTTTCCAAAGTGAAAATAATTTTCATACCACATCAGCTATCAAAAGTCTTCCATCGCATAGAAGAGATTGATTTTATTATATAGAACTAGAAAAGTGTTAACACCCAATCCAGAGAAAGACAGGAAAAAACACACTTATAGGTCAATCACATTTAACAATGTAGGTTCTCTCTTGCTCTCTGTCTCTCTCCCTAATGCATATTGTGTGAATTCATGGAGTCAATCCCATTAAAATCATGAGATAAGAGTGCATCTAAGCTGCTATCAAATAGTACAGTGGCATCACAAGAGGGTACGGGAGGTGCAGACTGAACAGGGGTGACGCTGTCAGAGAGGGCAACACCAAAATGACTGTCTATAAAATTTTTGTGCAGTGTTTCAGCAGAAATTTATTATTTTTTAGAAAAATATCCCTGTAGTTAATTATAACAACAAAAACATTTTTCATAAGCCCAGTTTACGTATATAAATATGCCTGCAAGACTAAAACTCTATGTTAATTTACTTTTTGAATCTTCTAATGTGCTGTCATTATTACATGATTACAGTGATGCTTGGAATCATGTGGTTTTGTCTGCACAGGTTACCAGCACATGCTACCAGCTACCAGACATCAGCATGTGCTACCAGCTACCAGTGCTGTTGTTCTCGTTGCTGCCGATTCTGTGTGGTCTGGTAGGGGAGGAGGCCCGTGGGGAGGGGGGCACCATGAGTTACGGCACTAGCTGACACCAACCCTAGTGGACTTGGTGACACCAACCCTAGCACCAAATTCTTAGGCCAATAACTTGGTGTAAGAACCCCGAGAGGTACCCAGAGTACTGCAGCTGACTTTTGCCTCAAGAACTCTTGCCCAACAAGGTGGACAGAGGAACTTTGCCTCTCTGCAAAGGCTGAGGGCCCACCCAAGTGGGAAGTCAAATGAAGATTCCCCACCAGTCTGAGCTGGGAGCTGAGTGTGTGGGTAACAGGGAGGAGGTTACAGGAGGGGAAGCCTATGAGAAGCTGAAATAGACCCTCACTTGAATTTGCAGAATAATCCCTTCAAAAGAGCCACAGTTGCTCTTGTCACTGGCTCAGGGAGTTTAGGAAATTTAAATAACTTGCCCAAGGTCATGTAGCTGGTAAGTGGCAGGGCTGAGTTTTGAAGCCAGGTCTTTGTGTATCAAAGTTGGCCTCAGGTAACACAATCTGGGGCCTCCCCAGTGAAGTTGTCTTCCATCCCCTGGGATGTGGTGGGGGCTGGGGCTGAGCAAGGAGGAGGATGGTGTCTCTGGCTGCAATGACCAGTCCTTCAGAGAATGCTGCTCTGTTCCCACGCTGAGCAAACTCAGGCAGCTGCGCCTTTCCCAAGTCTCCTCATTCTCAGCCAGGACTAAGGACTGCTCACACTCACAGGGGGCGTTGGGGTGGGGGCGCAGTGAGGGGAAGCCTCAACCAAAGGGATGAGTCTTTTATATTGGAATTGCAGACATTAAGTGAGAAGGAAAGGAAAAGATAGAGTCATTTCAGTAGGACTTGCCACACAACAAAACCAAAACCAAACCCACGGCCATTGAGTGGATTCCAACTTATAGTGATCCTAGCTATAGGACAAAGTAGAACTGCCCCATAGCATTTTCAAGACTGTAATCGTTACGGAAGCAGACTGCCACATTTTTCTTCCGTGGAGTGGCTGGTGGGTTCAAACCAACAACCTTTTGGTTAGTAGCCGACCATTTTAACCACTGTGCCACCAAGACTCCTAGGTGCTGCTAAAGGCCCCTGAAATCATTCCTGAGGGCAGACTCCTGGTGTGGGGACAAGACGGGGTGCACCTGGTATGAAAACACAACTCTCCCAGGCCCAGAGCTGCAGAGCTGGCCAGCCTCAGGGACCTGGGCTCTCCCTAGAGTCCTCCAAGGGGCCTGGAAGGAAGATTGAGGAGTGGGGAGGCTGGGACGCCTCTTCACTGGAGCCTGACACTGCTAGATGCCTGGGTTTGAGTTGGCCAAAGGCAGGGCCCAGACTAGGGTGAGGCAAGAGAGGTGCCTGGGGAAAAAAATTTAAGGAGGTGCTCACTCCTTAAACTTTGCACCCTAGGTGCCTCTTTTGCCTCATCCTAGTCTGGGCCTGCCCAGGAGCTCAGGGCACCCAAGAGGAGCAACAACACAACAACAATAACAGCTAACACATACCACATACATGCACATAGGCCCTGTTCTAAGCATTATCAATATGTTGTTATATGTTGTATATATATATTTGTTGTTAGCTGCTGTCAAGTCAATCCCCTACTCATGGCAACCTCACACACAACTAAATAAAAGTGCTGCCCACTGCTGCATCATCCCCATAGTTACAGATCGGACGTTTGTGATCCATAGGATTTTCATTGGCTGAGTTTCAGAAGTATATAGCCAGGCCTTTCTTCCTAGTCCATCTTAGTCTGGAAGCTCCACTGAAGCCTGTTCAACATCATAGCAACACAGAAGCCTCCACTGACAGATGGGTGGTGACTGTGCATGAGATGCATTGGCCAGGAATCGAACCTGGGTCTCCCACATGAAAGGCAAGAATTTGACCATTGAACCACCACTGGTCCCATCATATACACAGTGAAACCTGTGAAAGCCAGAATTCGACTAGACTGCCTTGTTTTTCCGGGTCTCACAAGTTTTCCGCCTTTGACAGAGTGCAGTCTTACCACTTTTCTATTGCTCATTTTAGTAGAAAATATTTGAGTTTTTTTTTTCTGACAGGTTTCTGCCTTACATAGTTTCCGAATTTCACAGGATTTAATATATATCTATATATATTCACTTAACCCTCATGATTCTTGAAATTATCCTCAGTTGACAGGTGAGGAAACTGAGACATAAAATAGTTAAATAACTTGCCCAGCTAGTAACCCATACAGTTAAAAGTGTTCCAGAGTTGGAGCAACAGAGGAAGAAGGAGAGTCAGGAATAGGAAGAGGAAATGAAATGTGTTGCTAATTGCCTCCATGAACAACTGCCTCCTTTGCCTTGAGACGAGAACTGGATGGTGCCCTGCTATCATTACTGGACATTTTGATCAAAGATTCTATAGAACAACCCTGATCAAAAGGGGGGAAAATGTAAACCAGAATTTAAAATTTTCATGAAATCTGGACTTTCTGGAGCCACGGAGGCTGGATGAAACCCTGAAACTACTGCCCTGAAATAATCTTTAAACCTTAAACTAAAAAAAATCCTCTGATGTCTTCTTAAAACCAAATAATAATTTAGCTTACCTAGTAAAGAATGTCTGCCTTGAGCATTGTATTCCTTTAAGATCTATCTATAGAGGATCAAATTGACAATAGTAACTTGAAAGATTAGACAGGAAACTTAGCGAGCTGAGAGTTTATGTTAATGGGGGAGGAACAACTTGAAAAAGGTGGGTGAGAATGGTTGCACAACTCGAAGAATGTAATCGATGTCATGGAATTGTACATGTAGAAATTGTTGAACTGGTGTATGTTCTGCTGTGTATATTCTCAACAGCAATAACAAAAATAAAATAAATTATGAAAAAAGTGTTCCAGAGTTCACATTCTTAACCACGATGCAATATTGCCACCCCTCCCCGACACACACATGTGAGAGGCAACAGGGTGCCTGCCCAGCTGCCTTATCAGGAGCCCCCCACCCCCCCATAGCAGATTGGCCACAGCTGTGCCTCTGCTCACGGCAGGCGCCACAGGATGGGGAAGGTGGGTCACATGTGGGTAGGGCCCCTTTTATAGCCCCATCACCCCAACTGGCTCTATCCTCTGCCACCTGACCTGCTGGTTACTGGCTACACCCACTCGTCATGGAGAAGTTCCTTGTCTTTCTGCTTATCGCCCTCGTGGTGGTAGCCTATGCGGTTCCTGACCCCCGGGGAATCATTATCAGCCTGGTAAGAGGGTCTGCAGGGGAGATGTCACTGATGTCACCGCCTGGGGCTGGCCGGGCCTGGGAGGTGCGGCATCTCTTCCCTTACTGCCCCGTGCCCTGTCCTGAGCCTCTTCCCCAGGGGCCCCCAGAAGAGGCTGACCAACTCCTCAAAAGTTCTGACCAGAGCATCTCAAATCAGTGCTTCAACCTGACTGTGAGGGGCTTTATAAAAATCCAGAGTCTGAGGCTCTCGCACTGGAAACCCTGACTCAGCAGCTTCAGGAGTTTAAAAAGCTTCCCCAATGATTCTGGCTTCTGACCCAGGGTGGGAGGTGGAGAAGAACTGGCTTAAATATCACCTCTCCTGGGGGAATCTGACAGAACAAGATCTAACATCCACAGAACACTTACTATGTGCTAGTCACCATTCTAAATACCTCCAGAATATTTACTCAGTTAGTCCCTGTAATAACCATGTGAGGTAGATACTATTTTTATCAACCCCATTTTCAGATGGAGAGCTGAAATAGGGGGAGGTTAAGCAGCCTGCTTGAAGTCATCCAGCTGAAAAGTGGTTGAGCTGGGCCTGGAGCCCAGGCAGTCTGGCCCCAGATCCTGCTCTCACCACTGCCCCACACTGCCTCTCCATCCCATGTCAGAACCGGGTAAGCCCTTTGTGGTCACCTAGTTCAAAGGTTCTTAACGTGAGGCCCGGGGTCCCCCGGAAGTTATGTGTAGAGGCTTGTGGGAAGGGAGAGTTCCAGGGAGAAGTTACTCAACTTTCACAGACTTCTCAAAGGAGTGTTGGGCCCAGAGAGGTTTGGAGACCCTGTTCTTGGGCCACACATGCACATTCCAGATAGGAACATTGCCCCAGGGTGGAGCAGCGACTTGTCCAGGGCCACCTAGAGAGTTGACAGTGCAGCTGGTACTAGAACCAAGGTGTCCTGGCCCTCAGCCCCGGCTGCTTCCCAGGCACCTCACTGCCCACTTCTTACGTGGGCTGGTGGTGGGCAGAAAGGCCACCAGACCGAGGGGTTGAATTCCTTCACAAACACCCCCACCAGGGGAAGCATTGTCATGGCAGTGGGTGGCAGGGTGGGGTCTGTGTGGAGAAGGGGACTAGGGGAGGGCCTGGAGCTGACTGGCTGCCTCTGCAGGAAGACGGAGAGCTCTGCCTGAACAGCTACCAGTGCAAGAGTCGGTGCTGTCACCATTCCACCGGGCTGAGCCTGGCCCGCTGCGCGCCCAAGTCCAGCGAGAACAGCGAGTGCTCTGCCCAGGTAGATGCCCAGGGGCTGAGGAGGGGAGGGATGTCTCAGAGAAGGAGGCTTGGGGATTGGGGTCAGGGAGGAGGGTCGGCCTCGTGTTGAATGCTGAGGGGATGAGGAGAAGGTCAACAGGCCTGATAGCACCTTCACATCCCATCATCTCTCTTGACCCTCACAACTGACAGGTGAGACGAGTGGGAGCAGGGATTTGTTATGCCAATTTCAGGGATAGGTAAATAGAGGCTTCAGAGGGATCAAGTTAGTAAGAGCAAGCGAGTCACAGAATGGAGACTCCCACAGTGACCCCTGGGGAGGCGGTCAGGAGAAGCACCATCTGAAAAAACAGACTAGCCTGCTGGTTCTTGGGGTCTGGCAGGGGCAAGTGATGCCAAAGCAGCCCCCCACAGCTCATAATGCCATTGGCTCCATGTCTCTGCAGTCACTCTATGAGGTTTATTACAAGTGTCCCTGTGAGCGGGGCCTGACCTGCGAAGTGGACAAGACCCTCATGGGTTCCATCACCAACACCAACTTTGGTATCTGCCATGATGTTGGAAGCTCCAAGTAGTGAGACCACCCACCCACCGCTGCCCCCAGCCCAGCATGCCCCAGGCCAGGGCCACCTCTGTCCTCCTTCACCCGCTTGACCAGCACCTCTGTTTTCTTATTGGGTTCTTGGCAATTAAAGCCCTTCCTGCAAATCTTGCCCAGGCTCCTGGATGTTCTTACTGAGTCAGCGTCTTCTTGACATTACATCAAGCCTCTGCATCACTGGGGCAGCCATCAGGCCAGAGGAAGAAGGGATGGGGCTAGGGAGGATGTGGCCGGCCAGACAAGACTGGGGACAAGGTTGTGAAGCAGAACCTGCTGGGTTGGGAGCCTCTCCATTTCTGGGGAGCAGTCACACCTCCCTGGGATGTCTTCCTTGCCCTTCAAATTATCAGAGATACACACAAACTCACATACACAGCTCCGGTGGGGAGTTATAATAGCCTATATATTCTTTACCTGGCATCAAAACTTAGCAACACATAAAAATTATTTGTGAGATATTTTACATTCTTTTTTTTTTTTCTTTCCATAATAAGTCTTTGAAACTCAGTTTGTATTTTACGCATCTCAATTCAGACATACCACCCTTTAAGTACCCAACATGCACATGTGGCTGGTTAGTAGCTACTATATTAGAGAGTGCAGGTCTACAGGGTCCAGCATTAGGAGTTTTTTATGGATTCAAAGCTACAAATACCTCTGCTTTTATAGCTGAATATCTATCGGATCTAGAAAGAAGACGTGTTGAAATGATAATATTTTTTATATACTGGATTAAATAAATATTATCAAAAAAGATGGCCACTAGAAAATGTTGAATTACATATGTAGCTTTCATTTTATTTTTATTGGGCTGTGCTGCTGAAGACTCTCAATTTCTGTTGCTTTTCAGAATCAAAGGCCTGCCTCGTTTTCTTCATAGCGGAGGCACAGTCTATCCACAGCTCAGCGTTCTTTTCTCCCTACAAATTTCTCTTGATTCTGACAGCAGCAGCCTCTATCAGTGACCACTTTCCCATAGGGGCAGCTGAGTCTCCATGGCTTGGAACCAGTTTAATTATGTCAGCAACGTATCTTTTTTCCTTGACCTTCTAACTTCTTAAGACATTTCAGAGCCTAGTGTTGCGAACAAGGAGAGAAGGACTGGGTTGCCACTTCTACTCTTGCCACTAACACACCCACTTCCCCCTCCCACCTGCCCCTCCCCAACCTCCCCATCAATTCTTCCCAGAGTAGCTGTTGTGGGTGTTGTTAGGTGCCCTCGAGTCAATTCTGACTCCTAATGACCCCATGTGACATAGTAGAACTGCCCCACAGGGTTTTCTAGGTTGTAATCCTTACAGGAGAAGATTACCAGGTCTTTCTCTTGTGGAGTAGCTGGGTGGGTTTGAATTGCCAACCTTTCAGTTAGCAGCTAAGCTGCTTAACCATTTTGCCACTGGGCTCCTTCCCAGAGTAGCTAGAGGAATCTTTTTTTCAAAGGTAAATCCCACCGTATCACTCTGCTTCAAAGCCTCCGAGGACTTTCCAGGGCACTTAGAAATCGAAACTCTTTACCTGGCCTGCTGCAGAGTCTGCACATTCTGGGGCTGCCTGCCTCTCACTAGATCTCATTCCCCGCTCCCCAAGACACACACACACACACACACACACACACACACACACACACGCCACAACCCCCACTGCTGGAAAAATCCACCAAGCTTGCCTGGCCCCTGGGCATTTACACCGGCTGGTCCCCCTGCACAGAACACCCTGCCCTCTGATCTCTGCCTGGCTGCCTCCCTCTCCTGCCTCAGCCTGAGGCCTTCCGGGACACCCAGTTAGAGCAGTCCCACCACCTTGCTTCACTGTGTTCACAACACTATGACTCTCTGAAATTATCTTCTTTACTTATCTTTCTTGTTTTTTAATTGTCTGTTTGCCTTTGCTAAAATCTCAGCTCCAGGAGGGAAGGGAATCTCTTGCTATCTCATTTGCTGCTGTAGTTCTTAGCCCTAAGGACTGAACTCTGTGCGTGTAGGAGGTGTTCAATGCATAATTGTTGAATAAATGAGAATACTGTAATACTCTACTCCTTTCTCTCTTTGACCTCATCTCCTAGTATTTCCCCTCTCCCTCACTCCTCTTTGCTGTTCCTTGGGTATGCCGGGCATGTTCCCACCTCTAGGCCTTTGTGCTGGCTGTTCCTTCCACCCAAAATATTCTTCCCCCAGATACCTGCCTGCCTTGCTACTTTGCTGCCTTTAGGTCTTTGCCTAAATGTCACTTTGTTAGTAAGGACTTCCCTGAGACCCCTATTTAAGACTGTAACCTATTGTCACATCACCACTACTCTAAGCCCCTAAGCCCCTTCCTTATTTTCTTTTTCTCCAGATGCCTGTCAACTGGGATAGACCATAAATTTTACTTATTTGCCTGTGTACTGTCTGTCTCCTACACTGGAATGTCAGTCTACAAGGATGAGGAATTTCATCTGTCTTGCTCACAGCCCTACCCCAGCACCTAGAAAAATAATTTATATCTAATTGTTGCTGTTGTTAGTTGCTGTAGAGGGGGCTCCAACTCATGGTGGTGACTTCATGTACAACAGAACACAATGGTGCCCAGTCCTGCGCCATTTTCACAATTGTTGGTATGCTCAAGTCTATTGTGGCCACTGTGTATTTTGAGTGATTTCCAACCTAGGAGGCTCATCTTCTAGCACGATATGGGATAGTATTCTGTTGTGATCCATAGGGTTTTCCTGGGTTAATTTTTGGAAGGAGATTGCCAGGGACATTGCAAAACTTCCCCAAAGTCACAAAATTATTAAGTAACAGAAGACTAGACTCTAACTTTCATCTTTCCACTCCCTTCCCCCAAAAGCCTTCAGTTACAATAAGCCCCACCCTTGCGGAGAAAATCAAGTGTGTTTGGTTGCATTTCTGTAGGCCTTTTTGGCAAGGACAAGACTTTTGGGCCCAGAACACACAAACAGTGAGTTGGTTGTGGTTGCACGTGACCAGAACATAAGGTAACCCAGAGGGCAGGGCAGCAGAGACATTTTCATATACACTAGTTGGCTGCTAACTGAAAGGTCAGAGGTTCAAACCCACCCAGCAGCTCCTAGGGAAAAAGACCTGGTGATCTGCTTCCATGAAGATTAAAAAAAAAACCATTGCTGTCGAGTTGATTCCGACTTGTAGTGACCCCATAAATTACAGCCTAGGAAACCCTATGAGGCAGTTCTACCCTGTCACGTGGGCTTGTTGTGAGTTGGAATCTACTTGATGGCACCTAACAACAACAGTCAGGGTGGGCTAGGTAATACTGTGGTAACAAACTCTCCGGAAATCCCAGAGGTTTAACACAACAAAAGTAGATTTCTTGCTCATGCAAAATCTGAGGTGAGTCAGGTGACTTAGTGATCCATGGACCTTCCACCCCATAATTCCATCATCTTATCACCTGGTGTCTTAGGCTGCGTTCTCTAGAGAAACAAAACCCGTAAATTGTATAAATATAGAGAGATTTATATAAAGACAATGGCTCACGAAGTTGTAGAGTCTGGAATGTCCCAAGTCCGTGGGTCAGGGTAGAGGCTTCTCCTAATTCATGTACCCACAGGGGCTGGTGAACCCAAGATCAGCAGGTCAGAGAGCAGGGCTCTTGCCCACAGGCTGCGAAGATGGATGAATCCCAAGACTGGCGGGCAAGATTGCAAGAAAGCTGCTAGCTCAAGTCCCAAGACCCGGAGGTCAGACAAACAGGAGCCAGCTGCAGGATCCAGAGGGAGCAAAAATTTCCCTGAGCCTTGCCAGAATGTCCGCTTATATTTGATGCAGGCCACACGCTCAAGGAAACTCTTTTTCAATCGATTGGCTACTCACAGCAGATTACATTATAGGGGTGATCACATATCCAATCTCAACAGGGAAGTGATCACAAAATTATACAACTGCCAAGACACTGAGAATCACGGCCCAGCCAAGCTGACACACAATCTTAACCATCACACCTGGCCTTGACAAAGTGAGAGAACTAGAGAACTCACACATTTTGTGGTTGCCCTGCAGAGAATGAAACCAACCCACCATGTAAAACTGGTTCAGATGTTGAGACTGATATGCCACGATCACCAAGAAGATATGAAAAGGCGTAAGGTCTCTGGGCAGTGCAGTCTGCACTCAGCTACTAATCTAGAGGTTGGCAGTTCGAAGCCACCCAGCAGCACCATGGAAGAAAGGCCTGGTGATCTGCTTCTGTAAAGATCATAGTCAAGAAAACCTTATGGAACAGTTCTACTCTGTAACACATGGGATCGCCATGAGTTGGAGTCAACTCAATGGCAAGAGGTTTGGTTTGGTTTTTTTTTTTGTTATTCACATGATGGGACTTTCTGGGGCCAGCAGGCATGCACAGGCAGGCATTGGGGGAAAGGGTAAAAGGTAAAGGCTTTAACTATTTTGTGGCTTGAGGTGAGGCCAGGGTGAGGGTTCCTTGTGCAGGATGGGGTTTCATGATTTGAACTTCCCACCAGCACCAAGGGAGGGAGCTCATGGATTTTCTGTTCAGATTGCCCAGAAGCGGGGGTAAAATGGGTGGGGTGGGGGGAGCTTGAAAGCTGTCATCAACCAAAGTTCAAAAATGGAGCCTTCCTTTTTGTTACATTACGCTTGCTCTTCTATGCTGGGGCCCAGAAGTTACACACATCGCTTCCACCTGAGGCTCACTGGCCAGAAAATTCACACAGCCAACCTACCTGAAGGAAGGCGGTCCTTCTGGGTGCTGAGGAAGAAGAAAAGGACACAGGACTTGGTGTATTCATAGCATCGTCTCTGCCGTGTGTTGGAAAAAGAAAGGAAAACTAAAGGGGTAGAGACCTCACCTTAGAAATGTGGCTTCTCAAAGAGGGGGTGTTTTGGCACAAGGTTTTTGTAGGCAGAGTCATTACTGTTGCCAGTTGAAAACCCCAGGTTTTGTTCAGCGTGACTTATTATAGCCAGTATACAAGAGGCTGAGATGGGAGATCAG